CCGTTGCCTGTCGTTTGTATGGGGCCACACGTACACATTTCACGTTCCATGCGCTACCTGGCCGTGTACGTATGCCAGCAGCCTCTTACCCGGCCCTGGAATATACATATAGACGCGCAAACATCCCGTAGACCCGACCTCTCCCGACCACTCGCTACGTTTCTCCGTTCTCCACCCACAACCGCCACCCCACCTGCACCACCACCCCTCGGCAGCCCGTTTTATCGCTATCAAGATGCGTTTCCTTTTTATTTCTTCCACCTGGGGTAGCACGGGGTAGATGTCCAGGCAGATGCGAGCTATCAAGGGCTGATACTCGAGGAGTGACGTGCTGCGTCGAGGATTGGAACGAGGAGTGAGATTTCTCCGGTCTTTGATTGGCGTTTAAATATGAACGTGTGTGTGTGTGTGTGTGTGTGTGAGGGGGTGGGTGGGTGTGGTAGAGTGGACGAAGGTGGAGGGCTTAGAGAGAAGCGAGAGATGAGGTGGCCTTAGGAGTAAGATAAGTTGAAACGTTGTTCTTTGTGAGAGTGTTTGGAGTGCAGAGATTTAGGATCTGCGTGGTGGAATATTCTGCGATTGTGGTTTCTGTTTCGGGAAATTTCTTTTCTGGTATTGGAACGAGATGAATGAACGATGTTTTGGTTTTAGAGGTTTGGGGTGCTTTTGGCAATGATTAATCTTGATAGATGGTTATATGGTTATTGTGGTTTCTGCTTTGGGAAATTTCTTTTTTGGCTTTGGGATGAGATGAATGAATTATGTTTTGGTTTTAGAAGTTTGGGGTGCTTTTGACAATTGTTAATAGTGATAGATTGTTATATTGGTTAATGTGGTTTCTGTTTTGGGAAATTTCTTTTTTCGTATTGAGGTGAGTTAAATGAACGGTATTTTGGTTTCAGAGGTTTGGGGTGCATTTGGAAATGATTAATCTTGATAGATGGTTATATGGTTGTTGTGGTTTCCGCTTTAGGAAATTTCTTTCTTGGTATTGGGATTAGATAAATGAATCATGTGTTGGTTTTAGAGGTTTGGGGTGCTTTTGATGATAGTGATAGTGATGGTTATAGTTATCATTTGGGAAATTTGTTTATTAATATTGCAATCGGTATTTTTAAGCTTGTATAATTAATTATTATCATTCGTGTATACTATAATTAGGTGTATATGTTATAGCTTTAGTGTTATGAGATTTCAGACAGACATTTATATAGCGTTTGACTGCAGCCATTCAGAGAAACATTTTGGTATATGAAAAATTAATGTAACTTCATTCAGTGGAATATTAATAGTAATTAAATGTGTATCAATAGTAATTATTACGTTAAATAACATGATTTTGTGAATGCCGAAAAACTAATTTGAAAATCTTAAGAAATAAGATTTGGAATCCATAAATGCTTAACCAAACTATATATTAGTAGTGAAACATAGAATATTCAATATACGGAAATTTTAACAGTGAAAGGGAAAAAGAAATAAAAACAATTTTCTGTCTAATATCTACTGAGTATATAATAAAAAAAAAACTCATGGAAAACCGAATTCATCTACAATAAGAGAATTACCATTATTAAATAATTATAATACCCATTCTCCATTTTTCAAAATACATCAAACCAGAAAATGAATCAACTAATGATAAAAAACATAAATGAACGAAAACTGAAATTAATATCAAACAAACTATACACGAGATTACCCAAGAGAGTATGTAATAAAAAAACCATGGAAAACCCAATTCATGAAAGATAGCATAGTTACGACTATTAAATTAATATAATACCCATTCTTCCTTTTTCAAAAAATAAATCAACGAATAATGAAAAACATAAATGAACGAAAACTAAAATTAATATCGAACAAACTATACACTCGATTACCCAAGAATTCCCTTACCCACCCAACCAAAGATGCTATTAACCTGAAAATCCCAATTACTCCACCTGCCTGTCTGGATCATCGCCGATCGAAATCTCGACAGGCACCCATTGCCAAGAAAACAGGCACTACTCGCGTGTAAAATCTCTATTACAACCACCTGCACACCGGCACCGCCGCGTTGCAGCAGTTTGCTCTCTCTCATTACCACTTATTATTACAGAGACTCGTTCCCGGGATTGTAAATATCTTCCTACCATCCTATTTATCTCTCTAACACTCCCCACCTCTGCGCCCGTTCCCCCGACTACCCTCCACCTGCAGCCTCTTGCCACCCCGTCGCGGCCTCTTTTGTTTTATTTCGAATGTTCTTTCATTTCTTAAAAGGTTCTCCGGTGATAATTAGCACAATGCGCGGCGGCATTAATTATTACCCGCGCTAATTACCCGAGGATAAATCGCTCTCGGCGAGGGGTGGCCGGCGTTCGCGGCGGATTCGAGGGTCGCCGGGGCTGTTTCGAGGGGTTGGGCGGCCGGCCGAGCTGGCCCATTACCGTTATTGCTGCAACAAACCGTCCAACAACAGCGATAAATACGAGCGAGAAGCTGGCGTTACAAATGTCTCTCTGAGTTATGATTATTTAGCGCGACTGCTGCCGGCCGGATCGTTCGTTGCGGCCTGCAAAACGACCGGCTGCCGTTCCTCCCGCAGTTTATGTGGCCGCAGCTTTTGTCGCTCCGCGCGATCCGCTTTTCGCCTTGCATTCGGCTTCCAAGCTTCCTTTATCAAACCATTCCGAAAGAATTGCTCGGAGAGTTGCGAGGGTAAGTTCGTTTCGTATTTCTTCCTCCCTTTGGCTTTGGGCTAGGTCAGTTTACTGGGATAAATGGAAAAAATTCCTTTTTTGAGGTTAGGAATTATGGGTTCAATGATATCGATGCTTGGATTTGTTTGATGTAATTAAGAGAGCGACTAGATTTTTATACAGGGTGTCATTGGAGGTGATTCTACACCTAAAAGTAAGGTGAAAAGAAAGAGTAACTGTTTGTCGTACGAGGCTTCATTTTGGAGAAAATTAAATTTGAAAATTGATGGAGTGGAAGTTTTATTATTTGACAGTTTCATGGGAACGAGTGCTAACGATATGACACGCGTAGTAAAAAGAAAATTGAAAGGTTTTAGGAGTAAAGGTAGAAAGTAGGTTTATCGGAGATATTAGTCGTGGTGGCGCTAGTGAGTTACGTGGGGTATCGTCTTGAGACCGCCGAACACTTGGCCGTAAAAGGGTTAACCATCTGGATTTTAGTGTAGACTGCCTCTTCTGTTGTTTTATCATTTTATGTACGTAGTATAGATGTAAAAATACTAGAAATATTTACGATCATCAATAAAATAACGTGTAATAAAATTTGTAGTATCCAAGTTAGAATAAAAGAGTGAAATATTTTCTGAAAGATTGTAGTGTAAAAATTTGGAAATTTATTTTATGTCTTTATTATATTAGATTTACAGGTATTCCAAAAATATGATAAAAATTTATTTCAGTGATTTGTGAAGAATACAAATTATTTTCTGTTGTTTGGACATATTTATTTCAACACTCAGTTATTGAATTGTAACTTGAAGTATTCTGAATCAAATTAAATTTAGTTAGTGTTAATAATTAATTTTTAAGGTTATTTTTTAATAAAATGTAAAAAACTTTTTATTTAATACGTGCAAGTTATACATTTTATGTATTTAATCTGTATTCTATATAATATTAGAAAGTGAAAGTTTAACACCATTTAATTGTATATTTGATAGGTTAGAAGGAAAGAAGGTGTAAGGTAATAAAAATTCATAGCTTAAAAAATGTAAATTTATATTTATATGAATAGAATTATTCTACTAAAGCAAAACTTCTGTAATGCTGTGAGCAATAGAAACTACGAACAGTTACAAAGTCCAAGAAAATAAGATTATCCTTTCTTGAAGTTTTACGTGGTCAGAATCGGTAACAAAGGGAACTGTAACTCACAAGGTAATATGTACACAGTATATTGAACTTGGTTTAAATTTATGACATTTGTTAAAGAATTCCATAAAATGAGAATTTTCAAATTAGCATTCTATTACGAAGAAGATTAAATATTATATTAGTGTGGTAACTTTTATTTAATAAATTCGAAATAAGATAGTTTTATTAATTATCAGCGTAAAATAGTAACTATATAGTAATATTAATTTACTGTAAGTTTAATGGTTTAAAGTTTACTGTTTAAAAAAGAAAAATAAATGAATATTAAACATATTAGTCCGTAAGTACACTTTACACAGATATACATACACAGCTAATGAAATTAAATAATTTGGATCCTATTTTTAATTGTACGTTTAATCGTACTTGTTAAATATTTCTGACCATGTCTTTGTTTTTAATATCTATGCAATTATTCCCCAGTATTCATTTTTTCTACTTATATTTTTTGAAGGGAAATCATATCCTTAGAATTTAAAAATAACCACTCAATGGTATTCATAAACATCACTGCAACATTAGATACTTTTGTTTCCAATTTCAATTATATTTATATCACATTTCAAATAGAATAAACATTATGTTCCCGCCATCTTTGTCTTAACATTTGTATTATCTTATAACGTGTCACAATAATTTACTGTATTATTGACTGTAGATAAACAAAATATTTTGTATCATTTATAAAGTTTGAGAAAAGAATGAAAAATATGAGCAAAGTTAAAATTATAAAGCAATTCTCCGAGAAAATTAAGTAGAATAATGATGCAATCCCATACATAACTACACAGTTTATTACCTTCAGACGATCAGTATGGGCTTAGATCGAGCTGTTACCGATTTGAATATAGGTCTATAATCGTTCGTGTTGCCATAAGAAATCATAGATGGTGCAACAAAAACTATTGATTCCTTTGATGGGATTGATACTTTACTTTGTACGTTAAAGTCAGTAACGTAAGATTTTAAGAATTGTATATTACGTGTGGTCATAGTTCTATACTTTTTTCATAGTTGGTAGTATTACTACCAATATGCATTCAAATGTATTCAAATTTTTTTTTTTTTAAGTCCTCTGGCGAAACAGTTAACAGGAACTCTGTCCTTAGTTCATTTTGTATATTTGTGTATATTTATCGTACCGTGATATTTTATTCATGATGTCAAGATATCGATATGAATATAAGAAAAATATGTCTAATTCTCGGAATATTATCGAGAATCGTTTTAATCGTGCCAAAAAGCAAAACGAAACACGTAGGAACCAAAGAGTTGACAATTTTAATGCAAATAGGAAGTTATCAAGCCCTTCGCCGAAAATACGTAACAGAGGTTTGTGTAAAATACTAATTACGTTTCATAAATTGTTCTGTATATTTTTACGATTTATAATTTGTTAATATTTCAATTTTAGTGCAGCCAATTCACAGAAATGATGATCGTTCGTCTAAGTTTACAAAGTGGAGAGACGTACGTGATAAACGAACAAGGCTTGATCAAGCTAAGAAAAAACCACCTTTTGTTGTTGGAGTGGTGCATCATAAAATTTATTCACCAATTAATAAGAGCGTAAGTGCTGTTTCAACTAGAAAAAGGAGTTCTATTCCAAAAAGAATTACAAAAGCAACAGAAAAGAAATTAATGACTAAAGTATCAGCAATGAAAGTAAATACAAAAGGATTAATTAATGATAAAAAAGCTTTAAATAAAGGACAAGGAAATCAAAGGATACATGGTCAATCTTCTATTTCTGACAATTCCAAAATTAAATTATCACGTACTCCTTTAAGTCCCACAGTGGTTATAGAAAAACTGTCACCTACTAAAATAACACCATCGGTTTCAAAAATATGGAGAATTCCCAGTAAAAACAAGAGTACTAGCCCAAAAAATAGTTCCGTAGTATTAAGTAATACTTTTAATCATGACAGTAAATTATCAATAAAATCGAAATCTGTATATGAACCAATGGTGTTTCATAGAATTTCTAATTATAAAAGAAGTAATACTAATGGAAAACAGCAATATGATTCTTGTCTTAGTCATTCCACAAATGACATACCTACAAAAGGTACTGTCATGGAAAGTTTGAATATTTCGGTTCAAGAAGACAAACTTAGTACACAATATTTTCAATCTCTTTTGAAGAAAGAAACAAATAGATTAAATAAATTGTGTCAAAAATGGATGAAAGTTAAAACAGCACCTGAAACTCCACATGATGGACAGTGTCAAATAAACCAAGCTATTGGCCAAACAAATTTGTTAATAACCAAAAAATTCGAAAAATTTCGTGAATTAATTATTGCTTGTGAAGCAGGAGAAGGAGAAATGTTAGTTACATGTAAAGATTTGCAGGGATTTTGGGATATGATGTATATGGAGGTAAAAAATTGTGATTCACGATTTGAGAAATTGGAGAAACTGTGTTCACAAGGTTGGAAAGAAGAGGAGGTGCCTGAAGCAGTTTCTAAAAAAAAAACTATTGTTAGGAAGAAAGTTGTATCTAATAAAACAAATCCTATTAGAGCTTTCTTAGCAGAAAAGAAAAGAAAGGTTGCAGGGAAAGTAAGAAATGGTGGTGATACAAATGAACTTCAATCTAATCTAAATCAAGTAGTAAATAATAGATCTATAAAAGATAGAAGCTATAATCTAAAGCGTAAAACACGGTCTATGTTCATTGGCCCTAGTGAAAATAAAGCTACACTTATGAAACGTGATAAAAGATTAAGTTTAGTGCAAAAGATACGATTATCTGAAAGATCAAAGAAAATTGATAGTCCATTAACAATAATGAAAATAAGTCGAATGTGTAAGACACCAAAAGTTCAATTACATAATTTTAAACCCTATGTTAAATCTAATCAAACACCAGGAAAGGGTATATTGAAACAAAGGAAGAGTCCAACTAAAGTAGAATCTCCAGAGTTTATAAATAAAGTTAATTTCGATGATCATACAGCTTCAAATAAAGTGCTAGTGGATGAAAAAATTGAAGAAAAGAAGAATTTAGCTGTAATAATATCAAAACTTAACAGTTCTGATGCAGATTGTTTTGATCAAGTATCAATTAATGCAAAAAAGAAGCTTGCCTTCGATGATAATAGTTCTGAAGAACCAATATCTAATACGGAACAACATGTGCTAAGGAGAAGTTCTACAAATAAAAAGATTCATAAATTACCATTTATACGCATACAATCAGCAACACCATTAAAGGAATCAAATGAAAATATTAGTACACCACGTAGGAGTACCAGAAGAAAAAATATTGGTTATGAAGATAATCAGACGATAAATCAAACTTCACCATTGGACGCAAATATTTCCATGTTATTTGAAGAAACTACAAATGACACAGATTTAAATATATCAGAAAAAGAAATACAAAAGAATGTGTCTGTAACTGGAAAGAAAGAAGTAGTTGAATATAATGACAATATAAGAGTTTTGAGAAATAGAATTGTTACTCCAGTGGATACTCCTATAATTAAAAGAAGATCTGGAAAAATGTCTATGAATATACAAGATGTAAAGCATAAAGAAAATAAACCTCCTTTATCGAGAAGAACAACAATGAATGCTTTTCAAGATAATGTTGATGATAATGAAAGGATGGATGCAGACAATTATGCTGATATTACACATTTTGAGAAAGATAATAGTAAAAGAAGATCAACTAGATATATAAAATTTTCTGGTAAAAATAATTTTGAATAAATATTTTTTTCTTTTAAATTCAATGTTTAAGTGAAGAAATTGTGTTTCAGTAAAAGAATACACTGATCATAATACAGATAAACCGACCCTACCTGTGACTCCCTATATTAGGAGTAAAGCACATTCCAATACAAAGGAAAGAGTAATACATACACAGAAGGCTCTGTTTCTTAGGAAATGTTAAAGAAATGTAATTATTTTATTTTAATTGTTTATTCGTGATTATGTTTATTCATTATATTTATGTATTTATATATTTTTATTTCAGCTTTGGAAAGAATTAGATCTCAAACCAAAAAGGTACAGTCTCTAACCTTCGAAACCTCTAAACTTTTTAAATTCATATATAAGAGTATGAAGCGTTTTAATAATTTGAGCAATTGTTCATTTTTTTATCCACAAGATTTGAAAATATTGATATCTATTCTTTCCTATGTAATTACTTTTCTAATTGTGTAACCTTCATGATTCTAATTTTAATATATATTAGGTCAAATGTGACTGTAGTGAATAACATTTTTTATAAAAAGAAAACAATTATGTATGCTGAAAATTTGTGTGATTTTATTATAATAATTACATACACTAATAAAATTTAGTTCTTGTTTAAGTAATATGTATGTACGTATTTAGAAAGTTATTAATATATGTATACGATGAATTAAATGACATTTGAACAATTGTATTTTTTGACCACGTATATTTTTTATTTGGTTAGATAAAGTTGAGTTCATATCAGGTTAGATACTTTTGTTTAGTTCTTTAGTTTTTCGAAATAACACTAGGTGCGCTACAATCGTGTTTGAACGAATGTCTTATTTGATGAATTGTTTGCTAATATAACACAGTATTATAAAGGGAAAAATTTATGAAGTTAATTTTTATTTGAATAAATTCTTAATTTGTTTATAAATATCAACAATTATTTGAAGATATTATTTATATAATTTAAATTATACAAACAGGTTTTAAAAAGATTTTTAATTAATCCATACATTACTCCATGTTCTTTAACAAACTATATAGTTATTATAGTTATTTATAACTATATAGTTATATGTAAAGGAAAATTTATTTACAAACAAGGGGTTCAATTTAAAATTTCATTATCTGCAATAATAATAATAAACTGCAACAATTTCAAGCTTATTACTTATAATATACTTCTGTAACAAACGCATATATAGCATGTGAATATTTTCAGTTACGGTTTACAAATTTTTCCCTTCAAAAATATACAATAAATCAAGTATCGATTTTTTCGTTATATCATTCCTGTTACTATTTCTTCATAATTGGTTTTAAAATTTTCAAAACTTTGGTTACAAAAGGCGCAATGCCAGTGCGCAGAACGAATCGTTTGCGTTCCTCGCGCATGCGCCAATCGACGGCGGGAAACTCGCAAGTTCAGTACCGTGACCGTCGATTTTCCGTTGTCCGCGAAAACATCGTCGACCGATAAACACGGTGGAGAGAAACTCAGAAAAAAGGCGGCAGGAACGACGAGAGCAGAGAGCAGAGGCCGGCAGGGTCGCGGCTGGCGCAGTTGCGGTACGCAAGCACTCCGGAGTGGAGCGCAACTTCGGAACCGCGTGCAGTGGGTGGGAGTTGCAGCCCTCGTGAGTCAAGAGAGCGAAGAGTAACCGAAAGAACGGACTTCTACTCAGTCTGTCCGCGGCCGTCCGTCAAGCAGACGTCTCCGACTCTTGTCTTTTCCCCTACTTCCCCCGTTTTCGTCCGTCGTTCATCGAGTGCTTGTTTCGCAGTGTCTCAAAGACCTCGTGGGAGCCACATGGTGTCCATCGCGCGATTGTTACCTCTAACACCCTAAGTGTCGCCACCGTTCGCGTCGATTACGAGAATCGATATTAATCATCGTACACACGCTTATGACAGTTTGTCGCGTTGGTTCGTACTTCGTGCATGAGAACGACTGGAACGTGTGATCAAGTGGCAAGACGTGCAAGTATGTGGTACGCGAATTTTTTCGCTGGCCTAATAGGCCTGATCTTTATTGTTGGTTCGCCACCCTGGTGTTCAGATGCGTTTAACGTCGATACCAAACACTACGCCGTTTATCGAAGAGATCCCAGCTCCATGTTCGGATTTGCTGTCTCCGTCTACAGAGCCAGGGACGGTCGAGGATAGTAAGTTTTTCCACTTTTCTTTCTACGAGTTTTCGATTTTTGAATTATTGCCTACCGTTATTGTTTATTATCGTCGCGAGTGAAACGTAATTTCCAGGGACGTATGTGGCTTTTGTGATCGTTAACCTCGACAATCCGTGAAATTTTGTTGGCGCGTTAGACGGTTTGTTTATTTTTAAGGTTACGTTTCGAGATAATTTGAAAGTGTTCCGCCGCGCTCGCCATAGGATGTTTGTTTCGAATTCTTCCGTTCGGACTTCGTCGTGATACGCGAATACGATATATCGCGTTTGACCCTCTGTGGCGCCATGTGACTTTGAAGTTACTCTATACTCGTTATATATACTCGTAGTTTATATGGAACAAACTTTATTTCAAATGCTTACTATTATGCCAGTTATCGCACAGGTAGTTTCTTTATAATAATTATTAGTTTTTCGACTTAAAATTAGAGTGAAAAATTAAAATAAATTATAATTTTTTTTTCTAATTGGTATAAATTTTGGTTAAGGGTTAAGGGTTAAATATACGTGTAACTTCGTGAATTATGTGTGAAGATGGAGTCAAATCGCGAAGTACTCGCTACGCTATCGATCATTGATAGATTGGATCACGGATTTTTACAAGATGATGCGTAACGCAATGACACAGAGGATTCTGGGAAACAGATACGGTTACGTGCATACAGTTGATACGTTTACCTTTAGATTTCGATTAAAATTAAATAGTAAGGTAGGCAAGCTCAATGTACGCGAATGTCTCGTCCTTTACGATTTTACTACTGGATTTTGTATATCGAGTTAGGTTAAATATTATATTATTATTTTTGTTGTTTATTCTTTGAATTATGTGAATAATTTATATTAATTATAATTTAAATAGTACACCATATAATATGTTATACTGTTATAACTATTATATATTGTATATATTATAATAATTATTAGTAAATTATTAATTTATATTAATAATAACATTAA